AGTGCAGCTACACCACTACGCACTTCTTATTTACACGAGATATAAATTCGGACCTCTTACATAGTGGTACACTCTCAATGGGCAGGATAAACTACAACTTTCAACAACTCTGCACACTAAAATCTAGTCATAATTCAAACAAAAGTTACTATAAGAACACGTATCATTAGATCAGCCAGTACTACCTAATTTTCTTGGTACAAACCTGAAGGCCTGACATTGCCGCCTCTCTAACGCAGGCCCCAATGTCAGCACGACTGCATATAGTATAATCTGTTAGACCCTCGAGGAAACAGTCATATATTTGCTCCACAGGCAATGTCTCTGTAAGTAGAAAAAAGAAATAAAAGAATTTCTACCATCAACCATAAAAATTGCAACTTCCAGCTACAGCATTTGGAATGTCACACTGTGGTTAATCTCACATTCTTTTCAGAGTATAACTTGCCACGTTCATTCCCATACACGACTTTGGTTATGTACTGGTGCTCTGTCCAGGTAACCTCACCTTAGCTCCATAACATACCATAAAATGACAAAGAATCACTCTTTCAGAACACACTTTGAGCATAAAATTTTACAAAAACACTGCAAGAGGTCCTCACTGCCTCCGTCATCAGGGCGATGAATGAGGCAGCAAGGACCTCTGAAACGTCAGCAAACTTCTTCCGGACTACGCTGCGCAACAACCCAGAAGACAGTCATCTTCAGACACACTGTCACGAAAACCTCAAATCCTAAATTCAAAATTACCTGGCTCCAAATTCTTGGAACGGGAAACAGTGAGGCAAATTGACGCGAGAGCCCCTAGAGCATCTCTGCGACTTTCTGCCCACTTGCCAGTTGTCTCAGTGAACTTGGAGCACTGTATAACGGCAGGAATTACTCTGTCAAGATGTTCATCAAACATAAACTTAGGAAAGGAACCTGTTAAATAACAATAAAATTAATTAGCTATTTCAACAAGTACTCAACCAGGGTAACAGATTCCTTAATTTATATCACATACCTGACAATAAATAATTTATTAAATTTGAAACACAATTAAGACTTAAGCTAAAAATACATTTGTCAGCTGGTCTTCAATAACTCTGTTGTGGCAAATGGGGAAGAATTTCTACAGCCATAAATTCAACAACCAGGGTATCCAGTTATGACACTCCTTCTACAGAACCAGGCAGTACGCTCAGCTAGTCCAGAAAAGTGCCTCATTTTATGAAACCCCTGGGGTTCATTATCATTTTCATAACAATCCACCACCAGTTACTGCCATGTCAGATGACTACATTCCACACCTTCCAACCCTAAGATTCATTTTAATATTGTCCTCCAATCTACACATTGTCTTATGAGTGGTCTCCTGTTTTCAGGCTTAAAAATCAAAATTTTGCGTGCCTTTCTAATTTCCCCCATGCAGGATTTATGCACCACCCATTTTGACCTCCTTAATTTGATCATCCTAATACTATCAGGAGCTTCTCATTATGAATTTTCTCCGTTGTCCTTTTACTTCATTCCCCTTAGGTCCAAATATTCTCCTCAGCGTCCTGTTCTGCCCTGAAGTTGGTATTCTCTTCCTTACCCCAATTTCGAACCAACAGTAAAATTACATTAGATTCTGTGTTCATCCAGAACAATCCATAAAATTTAGTCAGATATTGTGCTACATAGTGCAAACAACTAAATAGTCCAATCTGTAGTCTCTCTGTGTTGAAAGGGTGCAACCATAACGTCAACTTCTGCTGATATCTTCTTGACGGAACTACACACCACTGGTAACACTACAGCTTTCTTACATGAAACTGCCATTCTAGAAACATTAAATGGTCCACTACCAGTTGCTCCAACATGTCACCCAAACTTATAACCACCTTCACCTATCTCCTATAATCACTTGCAAATGTTGATACTAAATAACAAATGAAGTTGATGCAGTGTCATTAAGCAACCAAAGACTTATAACATGCTTCTATAAAATATAAGAGCATTTGACCCTTTGAAGCTGAAGCTCATCAAAATAATGTTTAAAAATTGAGTTCTTACATAAAAGAAAACACAACACTTCTTTAGTGCAAATATAAATTAATTAATCACTGTTTATTCTGAGAATCACAT